TAGCCCCACTTGTCCTTTCTGAGACAATAATCTCCAGCTGCTTACCCAGCACAGTAACATGAGCCTTAGTTGAGTCAGGAACAACATCCACAGGGACCTCCAGGGAGATAGATTCTGAAGCCATCTTTCCTGGGAGAGGCAGAGAAAAGGTGACACAATAGAAGGTGGGAACCGGGAGGGTTCTCAAGCCCAAATCATAGAAGAACTTTTTATAATTCAGGACTTTCTGGACCCAGTGCTTTTTTGTGGAATCAAGGCACATTTTCTTAACCTATTCATGGTGATCTTTGCTGAAAATAAATTGCCAAGAGTCATAATTTTGAAGTACATTTTGTCTTTCATCCTGCCTGTCAGTAAATCAGCCCTGGGAGGGATGGAATCCTAAAATCTCCCATCGCTTCCTGTCCCGTATATTCCTCCTTTTGCCTATGACAATCTCCCATTGCCTATGGGAATTCTCACCACCCAGACACCCCTCTGAGTCTACCCACCTTTGGGGCACAGCAGGGAGCTGTGTGTCTTCTCCACAAGGACTCCCTCGGGCTGGCATGAAGACAGACAGGTAAAAGCAATGAAGATGAACATCAGGGCAGGCGGAATGGAAGGAGGAGGAACTGAAAGGGAATAGGGAAAAGAGTCCCCTCCCTGTGCACCCAGGGCTTCCCTCAGAACTGGAGAGAAGGCGGCTTCTCTTTGATGCTCAGAGGGACTCCATTTCAACCCAGGAATAGACGTTTTCTGTGAAATTCTTTCTGGCCAGGGCTATAGCTAAGGACAAATTTAAGGCAACTTATACGAGACAGGCAGGATTGATGATAGGGCTCATGATGGGATTTTTTAATGATCAAGGTAGGGATCTTAATAAGGGCAAGTAACATTTATTGAGGGTTTGTGATGTGCCAGGCACTGTGTTGGGCACTTTCATAGGCCACAGGTACGGGTGAGGCACATGGTTAAAGGGCAGGGGAGGAAGATGTTGAAGCTCCCAGACTGGACTTAGAGTAAGGTTGTAGCAGACATGAAGCCATCTGGGGAGACACTGCTTACCCTGGGCGGGCTGCCTTCTCTGTCTCTGCAGCTGCCTGCAGAAAACTCACCTTGACCAGAACTGGTTTGATGAGCGTGTCACTCTGACCCTCTTTGGGAACAAAACCCTTGTGGCCCCCACAAAGTTCATTGCTGTCCAGAATCTTAGTACTAATGGTAAAGTTAACATGACCTAGGGAGAAAGAAGGTGAAAGGAGGCTATTAGCCCTATGGCCAGAGGTACCCATGGGATCTTTTCCCCTTTAGACCATTATTTCTTAAGCTTTAACAGTAGATAAATCATCTGGGAGAATCTTGTTACAATGCAAACTCTGATTCAGTAGACCTAGGTATAGGGGGGCTATATTCTGCATTTCTAGCAAGTTCCAGGTGGTGCCAATGATGCTGGCCCAGTACATAGGTATCCTCCAGGGGCCTTCAATGCTAAAAATAGCATCCTGCTATTTATATCCTTATATAATCCCATCGTGTAAGTGTGGGTTGGATTGAGTGGCTTGCTTCTAATCAAGAGGATTGGGCAAAGGTAATGAGATGTCTTTTCTTTCCTGAGATTAGGTTGTTAAAAAAAAAAAAAAAAGACTTTAGCTTCTGTCTTGGTGTACTCTTTTTCTCAAATTGCTTGCTCTGGGGAAAGATGGCTGTTATGTGATGAGGCAGCCCAGTGGGGAGATTCATGTTACAAGATACTGAATGAGGCCTCTAGCCAACAGCTGAGGTTGAGAACTGTGGCCCTCAGTCTCACAGCCTGTAAAGATCAGAGGTTTTAGAATGAGGTTGAAATGGATCCTGTCCTAGTCCAGTCTTCAGGTGAGACCCCAGTTCTGGCTGTCAGCTTCACAGCAACTTCATGAGATACCTTGAGCCAGAGGTACCCAGATAGGCTGTACCAAGATTACTGACCCACAGAAACTGTATGACAAGTAATGTTTGTTTTTAAAGCCACCTAAGCCTTACAGTAGTTTGTCAAGCAACTGCAGATAACTAATATACCTGAAGATCATACTTTGAGTTGAAGCAATTTAATCTACAAGCAGATCCTAGGGTCAATGTGAAGATTAGATGAATCAATCCATGTCAAGCAGCCAGAGTGGAGCCTGGTCCATAGTAAGTGCTTAAATAGTTGACATGACCATAGATGCCTTGTCCTGGTATGAACATTAAGAGGTGTCCTTTTCACACTCGAAACATTCCAGTTTGGATAAATTTGTTTTGTCACCCATCAAAGAGTACTTTTTCTTCCTTTTCTTTTTGGAGACAGTCTTATACTCTGCCAACCTGGGTAAAGTGCCATGGTATCACAGCTCACAGCAACTTCAAACTCCTGAGCTCAAGCAATCTTCTTGCCTCAACCTTCTGAGCAGCTGGGACTATAGGCACTTTCCATCACACTTGGCTAGTTTTTCTATTTTTAGTAGAGATGGTCTCCAACTCCTGAGCTCAGGAGCTCCACTGGCCTCAGGCTCCCAGAGTGCTAGGATTATAGGTCTGAGCCACTGTGCCCAGTCTCAGAGAATATTTTTACTTACCATAGGAAGAAGGAAAATAGAGTCAAATAAAAGACAGAGGGAGGAGGAAACAAAGCAAATACAGTAAAGGAAAGGTTAGAGTTCTCAATCCTGAGATTCTGTGCTAGGCTTTCCATGCCTGTCTCCCACTTCCCTCTTACCCAGTTTGATGGCTGTGATATTCCAGTGGTAGGTTTCTGCTTCATCTGCACAGAGACAACGGGAGGCCTGAGAGTCTGCCCATGAATTCACCTGGTACTCATCCGATTCAGCCAGCTTGGTCTGAACCTGAAGAGTATGTTTAAGAGATGAAGGGCATGAGAATGGAGATAGCACACAGAAGCCTGGGGAAACGTGGGGGCTGAGGCACCAACATCTCGCCCCTTTCCCAGGGAAAACTGGTATGCTTCCAATTCAGGGACAAACTTATGGCAGGGGTTGTGGTTCCAGGGCCAACACCTGCCTCCTGTGTCCCTGGCGGCTCTCACCCTGATACAGTTCTTTAGATAATTGAAGACGATGGCAGTAAGACGAAAAGATTCCCCACGAACAACTGAGTAAGGGAGAGTCAGGTCAACAAAGAACGGCTGGAAAGCAGTTAGTCCAACAGTGGGTGAGAGACCAAAGCCTCTGGACTGGGAGGTGCAAAAAGTCATGGCCTTCCACTCGGTGATGGCATCAGGAACTGTGACAGGGACCACTTCTTTCCCAGAGTCACTGTGAGAACATGAGAGCCCGTGTGAGGCAGAGGCAGTGTGGGAGGAGAGCGTTTGTGAATTGAGCTACAGATTCATCTGCAGAAGTGCATTATTTTTGTTGTGTGTAGGGAAAGTAAAGAGGCAATTGAACTGGGGGAACATGTAACTTTCAGGGTGAAGCCTCAGGTGAGTGAGGATGTAGGAAGATGGAGGAAGGATAACAGGGTGTAGGGGGCTCAGGGAAGATGTGTGTGTGTGTGAGCATACCTGAAAGAGGGGTTGGTGACCTTTGGATCTGTGCTCTGTGGCTTGTCAAAATGAGCATATAAGCAGTGGGCAAGAACTAATGTCAACATGTGCCTTTTTTTTTTTTGAGACAGATTTTCACTCCCTTGCCCTGGGTAGAGTACTGTGGCATCATAGCTCACAGCAACCTCAAACTCCTGGGCTCAAGCGATCCTATTGCTTCAGCCTCCCATGTAGCTGGGACTACAGGTGCCCACCAGAGTGCCCAGCTAGTTTTTCTATTTTTAGTAGAGATGGGGGTCTGACTCTTACTCAGGCTGGTCTCAAACTCCTGAGCTCAAGTGATGCACCCATCTCGGCCCCTCAGAGTGTTAGGATTACAGGTGTGAGCCACCCCACCTGGCCTAACATGTTTCTCTACATGAGTAGCCTTGGAGTGAGAATGCACTCTGCACTATGAATGTGAAGATGTGTGATTCATTTTCAGTGATTGTGTATGATTCTATAAGAATTCTGGGGAAGAAACAAGTTCCCTTATTCCATCAAACATTCACAGCTCAAGACCTAGATCCATTAGGAATGATGTAGAGTTTTCTGTGGGCTCCACACTGTATCATCTCACCATACGTTAGAGTCATCACTTACCCAATAGGAAACAGATCCCAGAGCCAGGTCTCTGGGAAGTACTGGCGGACCTGAGAACCCTCTGAAGGAAGTGAGGCAGAGGATGAACTAAAGCCCTCTGGAATAATATCAGCGCCTGTGCCTGATGATGAGAATGAGGGTATGAGAATTTTGGAAAACAGAAGACTTCTGTTGTGATATAAACTAAGGTAGAAGGATTACTAGAAAGAAATTTAGGGGGAAGCAGAACACATCCTAGTAAGAGACAAGGAGAAGGGGCCTCTGGGGAAGTGACTGAACACAGAGGCTGTGGGGGTGGGGGGTGGGGGTGAGAGTGACAGCAAGGTGGTTTGGCCAGGGAATGAACAGATAAGGGCTTCAGGCTTCAAAAGCCCTCCCCAGAGAGAGAACTTTTGGGAAACTTCCTGCATCTGTGATGCAGAACCCATTCGCACTCTGAGGCTCAAAGCTAGGTGCAAGAACAGGAAGCAAAGAGGGAGTTTTCAGAGATTCCAACTCCACCGTCTAAAGGGAACCCACAGATCATGGAGGTGACTTACTTCCACCTATTATGCGGCCATCTTTTGGAAATGAGTAACTGCAATTTACAGGCTTCTTGATTTTGGCATTGGACAGTATTTTCAAGCCCACAGTCTGACAGGCACCAAAGAGACCAGAGAATAAACTGTTAAGGTAATCCCTTCTCTTACCCCAAGGGACACGGTCCGGAAATTCTATTCTCTAAGGACTGAAACAAAACATACTTTTTTCATTAATGGTGAGAATGGTGGTTATTACTGAGTACTCAGCTACCAAAATTGGTTCACTTCTACTTCAGCCAGGATGAAAGGTTTTCAATTCAACTTATCTCATCAGAAAACGCATCTAATTCTTCTTCCATATATTGATCACTGTGTCTTTATGTGACACTCTGAATTTTCTAAGGCAGGAACCATATCAGCTTGAACAATTCAACCAAAATGCAATAAGTATTAAGAGTGTCAGGCATTAGAGAGAATGCAAAGGTGAACCAGACCTGACCTTAGAGACTACCCAGTCAGATTTGAGTCACACAAAATCCTAAACCCCTGCTCATAACATAGGTGCAAAATGATTTTATAATAATGATAAGAAACTTCTGGGAAGCCTTCCTTAAGGACAGGGATCAGACAATTTTCTACTCGTCTGATCCCATGAAAATCACTATTTGTAGATCCCCCAGGGAAAGGAGAACTAGGTTTACAGTCCTCACAGTGGTTCTCTTCCAAAGTAATTGGGCAACTTCTATTATAAAACCTAGAGAGTCTGCCTTCTATGTCAAAAGCTTCTTTCAAGTTCTTTTCCCCTGTCAGCACCCATATGAGCACCTCTGCTTTCCTAAATGTGGACTTTCCTTTGCTCTCTTTCTCATTACCATTCTTTCTATAAGAATAAATTGAGTAAGAACATCTACCTGGAAAAAACTGAAAAGGTCTATGCCTTCAGAGAACCAGGGCCTCCACATGATGGAAGGCATGCTCGAACGCCCCTCAGGCACCGGGTCAATGAGGGGTTGAGGAATGTCCCACAAGCCAGACACTGGACACTCATCATATTCAGCCACTTGATAGGGGTAGTGACCATACCAGAATGGGAACATCCCATAGACCTGAGAAAAGAGGGGCAAAGAAAATAAAGTATTGACACCATGAAATCAGTTGAGAAACTTCTCTCAGATTCTGTTGCCCGGTTCACTACTCCCTTTGTTACTCCAGAATTATTTTTACATTTATTCTACTGTAACCACCAATTTTACTTCAAAAATTTTAACCTCTATCTTACCTCTCTTCATAATCCTATCTCCTATTTCATTCTCTTTTCTTTTCTTTTTTTTTTTTTTTTTTGAGACAGAGTCTTACTATGTCATGCTCCGTAGAGTGCTATGGTGTCACAGCTCACAGCAACCTCAAACCCTTGGACTTAAAGGAGCTTCAGCCTCTTGAGTAGCTGGGATTATAGGCACTCACCACGACACCTGGCTATATTTTTGTTGTAGTTGTCATTGTTTAGCAGGCCCAAGCTGAGCTTGAACTCACCAGCTTCAGTGTATGTGGCCAGCACCCTACTCACTGAGCTACGGGGCTGAGTCTCCTTTTCTTATCTCTGTGTTCATATTAACCATGTCCTTCTTATGCCATCATTTGTACCTTCATTTCTCTTCCAGCTTTTTTACCACCTTTTGGGGGTTCATTATTTCCCTAAGACTTCCTCTTCACTGCCTGAAATCTACTTCTGATTCTGATGCAGTTGAATTCTTCTCTACCGACTCCCTCTTCCCGCCTGATCAGCAGACTACTCACAGAGCTGTTGCTTAGCGCTTTTTCTGGCCTAAGAAGCAGGACACTCTCATCCACAGCCCGGATAGCACACAGGGATCCAGGAGCCGCCTGCAACTGTAGCTCCACATCTGCCCCTGGAAGCTGCTGGGCAGGTGAAAAGCCAATAGCCACCTGGAGAAAGGAAAGGGGTCAGACTGGACAGAGGGGAAACGATGTGATTTGGATCACCAGCCAACACATCCCAGTGATGCTATCCAACTCATTCCTACCCTTTTGTACTTACTTTTCTTTGTATAGTCTAGATCTATAGGACTTGTATGCCATGACAGAGTTGGGAAAAGTGAGCAGTACAGTGGATCAATACAGAAAGTTTAGAAGACTAAAAGTAGAGAAAAGGAGAGTATGTGGATCAGCTATATAGAACATGTGATTTCTCAGGATGACTTTTTAAAAAGAAGCAGGAGAGAAATAGATTTCAACATAAACCTAAAATACTAAAGACACAAATACTATATGACATCCAATGTCAAGAGTGTTTTCTTATTTCCCTGAACCTGTGTGTCTCCAGCCCCAGCACACACAGATCTTTCTTTCTTTTCTTTTTTTTTCAGAGACAGAGTCTCACTTTGTCGCCCTTGGTAGAATGCCATGGCATCACAGCTCACAGAAACCTCCAGTTATTGGGCTTAGGTGATTTTCTTGCCTCAGCATACCCAGGAGCTGGGACTACAGGTGCCCGCCACAACGCTCAGCTATTTTTTTGTTGTTGCAGTTTGCCTGTGTCCGGGTTTGAACCCGCTACCCTTGGTATATGGGGCCAGCGCCCTACTCACTGAGTCACAGGTGCTACCCCACACAGATCTTTCTTTATGCCCAACTCCTTTCTCCACCCTCCTCAACTACCCTTTTACCTGATTGTCAAAGCACATCTCAACTGAGAACTGAATTTTGTCAGCTATAACACCTCCACTGGAAAAAATGGCGTAGACCAGCAGGGTGGGATTGGGAGCTAGTCGGGAAGTGAAGGTCAGTGAGAGAGAAAAGGAGCCTTTCAGTCCTGAAAGAGGGGAGGGGAGGTTCAGGGGAATGGCCATGCCAATGGTGTCCAGTCACATGTGTGCTTCTCACTGTAGCATCAGAGTGCAAGCTGCTTCTCATGCTGCTATTCTCCTGTGATTATTGTTAGTGTTCTATTCTCACTGCTTCTGGGTATAAGAACTATTTTCTGGAAGTTTAAAATGCCTTTTCTTTCCTTTTTTTTTTTTTTTTTAAGGTAAAGTCTCATTCTGTAGTTCAGGCTAGAGTGCCATGGCCACAGCTTGGCTCACAGCAACCTCAAACTCTTGGGCTCAAGCAATCCTCCTGCCTCAGCCTTCCAAGTAGCTGGGACTACAGGTGCCAACCACAACACCCAGCTGGTTTTTCTGTTTTTAGTAGAGACAAAGTCTCACTCTTGCTTAGGCTGGTCTTGAACTCCTGACCTCAAGCAATCCTCCCGCTTTAGCCTCTTAGAGTGCTAGGATTATAGGGATAAGCCACCACACTAGACCTAAAATATCCTTTTCTTTTCTAAGAGACAAACAATGTACACTCACCTTCCTTCTTAGAGTTCAGATGTTTCTGCCCCTCCATCTGCAAACTCCCTTTCCCTATTAACTAAAGAAGAGAAGAAAATAACTAACAGCACAGACATCATGGTAACTTCACCTTGGCCCTAATCCTGGAGCGGCTGTTTCCCTCCTTTCACAGTTCCAGAGCCTGGTCAGCACTTCTCCAAGCATCCCTTAGCTGGACAAATGCAGGATGCTGCCAGCAGGA